CATATAGTTATATACTGTTGACAGAAAACCAAGGTTAGTATCATATAGTTATATACTGTTAACAGATAACCAAGGTTAGTATCATATAGTTATATACTGTTAACATCCTTTTTTGAGCGCATTAAAATTTTAGTGCATTAACGAATTTACACAGAAAAGCGCATTGATGAATACGCGCAACCTCAAAATATTCAATAGAGAGCAGTCAACAAGAAGTTAAGTTGCCGCATTCATTATACACTACAGCAGCGCACTTCCCACATCGCGAAAATTTCTAAAAATAAAGTACCGTTGCAATATGCAAGTTCACATTGGGTAGTAAAGGGAAGAGATGTAAGGGGCAATGATACAGGTAATCATGGATACTATAGTTATATTGTTTACAAGGAGATCAGATGACTGTCACATACAGTGGTATTTAATTTAGTAGTAAATGGACGATAATTAAGTGACAATAATACAGGTAATCATGGATACTATAGTTATATAGTTTATATAGAGATAATCAAAATACTGTCACATAAAATGATATTCAATTTTGTAGTAAATGGACGATAATTAAGTGGCAATAATACAGGTAATCATGGATACTATAGTTATATAGTTTACAGGGAGATCAGCTGACTGTCACGTACAGTGGTATTCAATTTAGTAGTAAATGGACGATAATTGATGTTATCGCTCATCATACAGTAATTAAGTCACACATGGAAGATATTCGGGCTTCAATCATACAGTTATATTAAAAATAAAGGAAAGATAACCCAGTTTACCATTAATAACACAACACAATTTTAGTAGGAGGGCGATAATACAGTTACAGTTGACCTGTAGAAAAAGATCATAGTCACTGGATTGGTAACAAGTGACCATAGTAGTAAAGAGATAAACCACTTTAAAAATCTCCCTGCAGTAATACTAATTGTAAGGGAGAGATAACCAAAGGTCATATATATACTGTAATACAAATATATAGGGGAGATAACTAGTGACTGTACAGTAATAAAACATGTAGGGGAGATAACTTGTGACTGTAGAGTAATAAAACATGTAGGGGAGATAACTTGTGACTGTACAGTAATAAAACATGTAGGGGAGATAACTAGTGACTGTACAGTAATAAAATATCTAGTGGAGATAACTAGTTACTGTACAGTAATAAAACATCTAGGGGAGATAACTAGTGAATGTACAGTAATAAAACATGTAGGGGAGATAACTAGTGTCTGTACAGTAATAAAACATGTAGGGGGGATAACTAGTTATTGTACAGTAATAAAACATCTAGTGGAGATAACTAGTTACTGTACAGTAATAACACATCTAGGGGAGATAACTAGTGAACGTACAGTAATAAAACATGTAGGTGAGATAACTAGTGTCTGTACAGTAATAAAACGTGTAGGGGAGATTCCTAGTGACTGTACAGTAATAAAACATGTAGGGGAGATAACTAGTTATTGTACAGTAATAAAACATGTAGGGGAGATACCTAGTGACTGTACAGGAATAAAACATGTAGGGGAGATAACTAGTGTCTGTACAGTAATAAAACATGTAGGGGAGATAACTAGTGACTGTACAATAATAAAAAGATGTAGGGAAGATAACTAGTTACTGTACAGTAATGAAAACATATGTAAGGAGAAAACAAGTGACCGTATAGACACACACAGTGATATTAGTAATAAGGGGCATGTGCAACCAGGTAACCATTTATTATGTAGTTGTACCATTTATACAAGTAGGAAGGAAACCATACCAGAAACCAGTGACCGTCATATCATAGGATTTTCGCGATAACTTTACAGCAAATGCCTATTTTAGTCAAAATAATATAGGATTCCCGTGACAATATTGTATTACTAAAACGCTTAGTCACATCACATGATTTTTTTATTCATATGACCAGGTTGTGTTGTATAACTGATATACACTATCCATTACCAAACTGTCTAGGTGGAATCACATGTGATTGTGGGATACGTTCATCTTTCTAGATAAACGGTGTAAACTCCGTGGTGGATTTCATAGTCGCCGAGGTTTGCCATAACCTTGATGGTCATGGTATCTCTTTTGTGCTGTGGCACGGATTTAAAACACACTCTTTACCCATTAATATGAAATTTACCTGTACTCCTCTGACGTTTGATATTTACCTGTACTCCTCTGATGGTTGATATTTACCTGTACTCCTCTGACGTTTGATATTTACCTGTACTCCTCTGATGATTGATATTTACCTGTACTTCTCTGATGTTTGAAATTTACCTCTACTCCTATGATGTTTGATATTTACCTGTTCTCCTCTGATGTTTGAAATTTACCTGTACTCCTCTGATGTTTGATATTTACCTGTACTCCTCTGATGTTTGATATTTACCTCTACTCTTCTGATGTTTGATGTTTACCTGTTCTCCTCTGATGTTTGATATTTACCTCTACTCCTCTGATGTTTGATATTTACCTGTACTCCTCTGATGTTTGATATTTACCTGTACTCCTCTGATGTTTGATATTTACCTGTACTCCTCTGATGTTTGATATTAACTGTTATGAAGAGGTTTAACGCACCTTGATCCAACAGTAGTAATAAATGTTATAGTAGCAATCAAATATGTGTTTCTTGCATTCATCTCTTTGATCTGCTGTCCCTATTGCGTTTCCGCACGCATACATCTTCGTGAGTCCTTACCTGCTGTAAGGACGTTAACCCCAAAACAAACAAACAAACATTCATCTTTCGGTATTATTTCTTTTATTATTAAACGTTTTAATTGTGAAACTGTGGTACAGTTCTCATTCAAAAGAATATTTATATAAAGCGTCATCATCACAACAATAACCGGCGTCAATACTGCACTACGCTTTACCTTAAAAACACGCCTTATATTAACCGTTAAGCTACAGGTAAACCTATCTTTAACTGTTTCTGATAGCTGATCATAGAACGGCAATGTGACTAACACCGAAAGTTCTGTAACCATGTAAACGAATCCGTCCCGGTGCAAGCTAGATGATTGGTCATTATATGTCAATACAAGTTACCGACTTTAATCGTTCTCGAGGGACGTTTTATCATTTTCATGTCACAGACATCAAAAATAATTGTTCCTATCAGTTTTAAATCGAAAGTCGTTTAAGCCAGATGAGTTTACGCCAATACATAGAAAAGTTCAGACTCACAGGGTTTAAGGTGATAGATGTATCGAACGTTGTGAGTTATTGTTTAACCGTGTGAGCCATGAAGACATTAAAGAGATTTAGGATCGATCAGTACTGTCAAATCATTGATATGTATGGATAAATAAAACGGACCAAATTATAAAAAACAAACATGATCAGGTGTATGATAAAGCTTAAATCGCCTAGTGTCTATAGTTTCCCTACATTGGTCTAAATTGTATTCACAAATTCCAGGTGAAAATGGACGAAATAGCGAGCAGATCAATTTTCTACATTAAGGGGTCATCGAGTCCAGTGCATCTGTTGCCCCCTGAACATGTTTCTGTAGCGCCGACCAGTACTGAGAGTAATATATTTTTGTTTTCAAAATGTTTTTATTTATTCTATTTATGAAGTATATATGCCCGAATAATTTCCGAAATATTAACATGGAATAAGTATCGGTGCTAATTTCAATAAATAAGTTGAATTAGTGTTGGTGTTAATTAGGTATATTGCACCACAGAAATGTACACTCACGTACGTACTTTACCAAGCTATTGGAACACAGTGTTGGCACGACGCCTGGCTGTTTGTTTCATAAATACTAGAATATGCGGGTATGCTTAGGTTCACCTGATGTGACACGCGCAGGTGTTTCGGATATCAATCAATTTATGACAGAAATGTTATCTATATCAATCTGTTTCCTTACTGCATGTATGAGGTGCAGACTTGATGAACGTAGAATACAAGTGCGATCAACTCCTCTAGGATGGATTGTATTACATACCTCGTAGTGTTATTTAGTACAACAGAAAACCACGTGATAATATTCTAAAATAAAATATATGAATGTGTTTGTTGAATATATGCACAAATGTGTTTAATCTTCATGGTAATGGGCGAAATGACGATATCTGTCGATACTGCACAGTGTACTTTCCAAGCATTAGTTAGTACTAGTAGTATACTTCCTATTGTAGTAAGTGTTTTTCTGTCATTTGCAACAGTTGGCTGAGATGATGAATTTACAATTTTACAATAAATTCCAATAAGTTCATCTTTCCTGTTTTAACAAAGACATGTTAACCATACTACACCCAGTGGCGGGAACGCTAACCCTTCCGAGGTGCCTGGTTTCGCCTGATTGTTTGTGGGAGTTTGGATATCTTTCCTTTTGATTTTGTGTCCCCTCGACCCCTGTTGGTGTCTTTTTGAATCTAATTTGTGTTATCTTACAACTTGCAAAGTTTACAGAATAAACAACTTAGTTTGACTGAAGGTCTTATTTTGTCGATGTGTGTTGACTCTGCGTTATTTGGTTTGGTTTGGTTTAATTTTGTTTAACGTCTTATTAACAGCTAAGGTCATTTAATGACATGCCTCCATGTGTGTAGTGTATGCGTACTTGCGTGTGTGTAACTCTGCGTTATATATTTCTCTATTTCTCTATTTGAAAAAGATATTTTTGAGGGTCAAGCTACCTTAAAACTGAACCTAATTATTGGTTCACAGAATCCATTCCCCAGATACTTTATGGTAGACTTATATGTCTGTAAATAGCTACGTTCAATGACAATACCACTGCCGATACATTTAAAATTACCTGTATAGATATAAATTTAGCTTTCAGAACTAGGTCAATAACAATGCGATAAAAGACGATATCATTTGTAGGGCCCTGTAACGAGATAGACCTTACTTTGTATTGATTTTTTAAACGTTAAATTCGAATTCGTGTTGCTGAGTTGAACATATTATTACAAACAAGATGAATAGAAGTAACTACATAGAGTAATATTAGTTAATTATTGTATAAATATGTGCTTGCCCTTTGATAAGACTGTAACAGTCAATAAACACAATACGTCTAGGCTGGAATTATACTATCGGACACAACCATGGGACCTGAACGAGACACCGCGGATAATGAACACCCATAAAAACAAAGAATGACTCATATATTTAATATAATGTTATGACGTGAAGTAAAACAAAGATAAAACAAGAATATTAGCCATTTACAATCCAGCCGTTTTGGCAATTTTCGTGACTTTAAATCAGGTCTCCAGGATTTCGATAACTTATAACAGGTTACGCCACTTTAATGCTATACCATTCCCTGGCTTTGTGTGCGAGTATATATTGTAATGATTAGGCTGGTCTTTGTCAGGTGTTTAAACCATAGCGAAATGAGGCGACTAGTCTGTGCGGATCCAATCAATATACAATACATTAAGATACATAATGTAGCTCACAAAGAACCAGAAATTTCACGTTTAAACGCATAATGACAACTGAACTTGATCTACCGGAAGTCATTGATGAGGAATAATGGCACGTGAGTTAGCAGACGACTCGAATAAGATGGCACAACCGACCAGTGAAGGTATGTAATGGCGGAATACTGTAAACATAGAATATCGACTGACTGTGAAAGGAAAACCATTTAGTGAATATGGAAACACAAACTTGTGTCAATTTCTCAAACAACGGTAAGTTATGACGAACATCAGTATATAGAGGTATACGTGACAAACCCCTCTTAAAGACAAGCTAAAGAGATATAATTATTGAGGGTTATTTAGTAGCCAATACACGATGTGGTCACCCTCACACACCCTAGGTAAAACCGTAAAGAGATCGATAAGCTTATCAGCATTGATATATGTATTACTCTTATTTATTTTAACGGGTTCGAAGGATTTACCAGCGACGTTAACAATGCATCATTCAAAATAACTAAATATTTTTCTGAAATATTAACTCTCAAGAAAGGTGATGTAAAATAGTGTAAACACATATAGAAAGAACAATTGGAGATCATAAACATAGTTATAGAAATCGTGTATCAGGAATGTGATTAATGAACAGGTTTCTGTGGGGTTGCTCTGAGAAAGAACCCAGAATTTACTGGCAGCTTAAGATATATACTAATAATAGGCTTTCCGTCATTCCAAATTTAAATATTATAGAACTTAATTCGCATTTAGTTAAATTTTCTATTTTTTAACATATTTTATAGGCAAATATGTTATATTGTCAAAGGGATTGGTCAACAGGTACAGTTCACGTAAGCTGTGGTGGTACAGTGCAAATGACATTGGTTTATATCATCTTTATATTTATCTCATTTTCATGGTTACCTTATTACCTTATTTACAGGATAGTTTATGAATGTTTGTATCTCACCAAACAAATAGAACATAAATCGGGTGAACACAAATAAGGATGGTCTTTAACTTGGCACGCTGACGTAAATTATTCTTTGTCTTGTTTGGGAATGACCAGCTCTGATATGCCTCAACATAGCTAGACGCAATTGTCTTTGTATTAAAATGTAATTATATCTTTGCTGTGTCATCGTGAATTTCCTCTGGATTTTTGCCCCTACAACTCATTAGGTACGCATATGCCTGTCCAAGAAGGAGAGTTAGGTCAGCTTAAACTGTATTTTATTTTGTAATATAAATATGTAGATGTGTTTATTATTTGGTGAGCGAATTTTGTTATCTCTTAAACTATTTTACTGGCTATTAGATATCATAGTTACTAAAAATCTGTATACAGAGTAGGAACCAAATTCATACCTTGCGGTAAAACACAACTGATTCTGTCTAATCCTTTTTTATATATTTTACACGGTGTAGTGCTGCTGCAGTTATGCTGTAAAGATAATTGGATAATTGCATTTTTTCAGCTCTTTTTCAGCAGTTTAAAGATGTATAATATTAAATTGTTATCGTCTTTTACTATATATGATTAATATTGACACGTGCATTGGAACAGGTTTCTACAAATACAATGTATATAATTACCTTCCTTCTTGTGTTATTTTAGAGGCGGAACCAGATATGGCGATACCTTATGACTGGCAAGTGGGGAAATCTTTGGCTGAGACTAACAGGCACATGCTGAACAATGAAGTTGGCTGTGACGTCGCCTTTCTGTTGGGAGATGACCGCAGTGAGGTGTATGCGCACAAGTATGTTCTCATCAGCCGCAGCTGCGTATTTTGTGCAATGTTACATGGACCAATGGCAGAGCGAACATCCGAATACATCCACATTCCTGACATTAAGAGAGAAACGTTCAAACAATTACTGGAGTAAGTTTGTATACACATCTAATGTCAATGATAAAATTGGGCTTACTTGAATAATTTAGTAAAACAAGTATCTGTTTCTTACTAGACACTTTTGTTGCACAAACCAGTATGTTTCCTTCAAATTATCCGTCTATATGAAATACTGTTGTTCTTTTAACGTGTTTTATTTATTTACTCTCCTATGAGGCATACGTATAAGGCTTATGTATTCAAAAGGAACAAGGTTTGGTCTGTCAAAGCCTCGAAATAACAAATTCATTTTAATTGAAAACAAAATCAAAACGAATGCAATGTTATTCCATTTTACTCCACCGTATCAACGCAAAATAAATAAATAAATCTCACAATTGATCTACGAAAGGAAATAATGTCAATACGATCTATGTTTTTTAAATGTCAAAGATGTGTTTTTCCTACTCAAATAAATCCACTATTGTATTACATCGTCACGACTTCAAAAGTAACTTGGTGGTATAGAACGTGCACATGATGTTAAGGTACTTGTACGAGTACAGCGTCATAGAACCTGCACATGATATGTTAAGGTACTTGTACGAGCACAGCGTCAGTTCTGTGGAGGAATTGTTTCATGCAAAAATAATGGCGCTGATGAATTATTCAGTATATTGCCTGGTCGTAATGTTGCTGTAGGCTATTGACCAGCTGTATTGATTACACCGAGCTTTCAGCAGTAGTCTTACAACCACTCACCTCTCTCCACAGGTACATGTACTGTGAAGACACAAAGGTCGACACCAAGAACGCTCCATACCTACTCTACGCCGCCCGGAAGTACGGTATCGACGCGCTCGAGGAGAAGTGCGTGCGCATCCTTGAGCACGGCATCGCGGTGGAGAACGTTTGTGAGGTTATTCGACAAGCCTACCAATTTGATGAACATGAACTGAAGAAAAAATGTCTGGATTTTATATTTCATCACCCGAAAGACATTTTACGGTCAAATAACTTCTCCGATTTACCAGACCCAGTGGTGAGAGAGATCATCCAGGCAGACGAACTCGCTGTGAAAGAGGAAGTTGTCTTTGATGCGTTATTGCGGTGGTCGGAAATGGAGTGTATGCGACAAGAATTACCTGTTTCAGGTAGGAATCAACGGAGAATTATTGGCGGTATGCTGAAATACATCCGGTTTCCGTTAATGGGGGCTAATTACCTCAATAACATCGTGTTGCGCTCAGACATATTGAACAACGAGGAGGTCAGGGACATTGGGGATTTCTTCTCGGGTAAAAGTGAGGGTGAGACAAAATTCAAACGTGATCAACGGTCTTTAGGTGACAACCAGGTCCTCCATTGGCGGTTTGGGCCAGTTAGCTGTATCCACAACGAGGAGACCGCCATTTCGTTCTCAGCCTCTCGACAGGTGCTCGTACAAGGTGTGCAGGTGGACGGCAGTGTGTACTCTGACGAAATCTACGACGTAGATCTTTCTATCTTTGACACCAGTAACAAAGAACTTGGAAAAGTGAAAACAAAACTCGATATCAAGAAAAACAATTTATACGACGTTTTGTTTCATGCGGCGCCAAAAATCGACAAAGGCTACAAATATACTGTGATACTGAAGATACAGGGTACCCATGGTTACTACGGCACGAGCGGAAAGTCAAGTCTTCCCCTCCGGGACTCAAGTCCCACAGTAGTCAACCCAGACGGCGAGTTCACGCGTATTATCACAAACAAAAACCAAGTACCCGCCATTTTGGTGAAGCCCTTCATCCCAGCTTCCTGATTCTTACCTGTCCCATAACATTTGAAATGCCTCTCTTGTCCATCTAAGAAAATCTAATTAAAAGATATCCATGTTGTGACAGGGTAATCAATAGCTGGTTACACAATGCACCGAGCCAGACTACGGGCACGTACCTGATAGAATGACTCGTCCGGTAGGGGGTCATTAACAGGTGGACGTCTAACAGGACAGGATGATTGTCTGTGGGCTGCAGAAGGAAGCAATGTGAATGTTTTAACTCAAAAGCAGTCACGCGATTTGTTCCCTAATTTTTATTTATTTAACACGTATCATCGGTATATTGTATTCGCCATGACTGGCATTCAGCGATTCGAGATGAAAATATCTTAAAACTAATGATACTCATCGAGATCAGAACTAATCATAGGACTTTAAATTGTTATCGAACATTTCTGTAACTGACATATAGAGAACACATTCTAGTTGTGTCAATACCACGTAGAATTGTACGATGTCTTGGACTACTTACACATTGCTAACACTAGTTATATATTAATGTCAGAATGCGTTTTATCTTGTGTCTACTACATTCTCCTTTAACTGACTTCAAGTCGTTACCTGCTAACTGTCTATTCAATGTGTAGACGGTTTAGGTAATAGTATTAAGAGGTCGTTCGTGGGGTGAAGCTGATGTGACCTTTTATGGTCATAAGTAAATAATACTATTTTATACATTACCAACCACTGTAATATATAATACCATATAAGTGTGATTACAAACCACTGTAATATACAGTACCATATATACAATACCATATAAGTGTGATTACAAACCACTGTAATATACAATACCATATAAGTGTGATTACAAACCACTGTAATATACAATACCATATATACAATACCATATAAGTGTGATTACAAACCACTGTAATATACAATACCATATAAGTGTGATTACAAACCACTGTAATATACAATACCATATATACAATACCATATAAGTGTGATTACAAACCACTGTAATATACAATACCATATAAGTGTGATTACAAACCACTGTAATATACAATACCATATATACAATACCATATAAGTGTGATTACAAACCACTGTAATATACAATACCATATAAACAATACCATATAAGTGTGATTACAAACCACTGTAATATACAATACCATATAAGTGTGATTACAAACCACTGTAATATACAATACCATATAAGTGTGATTACAAACCACTGTAATATACAATACCATATATACAATACCATATAAGTGTGATTACAAACCACTGTAATATACAATACCATATAAGTGTGATTACAAACCACTGTAATATACAATACCATATATACAATACCATATAAGTGTGATTACAAACCACTGTAATATACAATACCATATAAGTGTGATTACAAACCACTGTAATATACAATACCATATATACAATACCATATAAGTGTGATTACAAACCACTGTAATATACAATACCATATAAGTGTGATTACAAACCACTGTAATATACAATACCATATAAGTGTGCAGATCAGTTTCTTTGAATGATACAATGTTCAGTTTCTGCTATATTTGAACAAGATGAAAGAGACAGTGTTAGAATAGCTACAAATAAGCGTCAACTGTTTATCGAATGTAAGTAATCCCTAACAGTATTTTAGTTTCATAAACAATTGTAATAACATTTTGTCATTATAAATCGTAAAATTGACTTTATTTATTGTAAAACTGAAATATCATTTTTTTTGGCACTTAGATTGTGTACGATGTCGTATTGACTACCTCTTCTTTACATATATAGAGAATGTGGATTGCTGATATGTCTACTGATATATATAGATAATGTGGATTGGTGATATATATACTGTTATATATATAGGATGTGGATTGTGGATATATCTACTGTTGTATATATGGGGCAAAGAAGCAATTCCAACAGTGTGGACAAGTTTAGGTTGTCAAATTTTCGGAAAACACAGTGAAACAGAACAGTTACATGTACATCATATTACAAGAAGATAGAATTGATATACTATAATTGAAAATATAGCTATCATATAAAACCAATATTCCACTTGGCTAAAGACAGCCGAAGGCAGCAATTAAGCTGAGAGCATCGCGGACAAGGAACGCTGATGTAGAGGACCTATTCTTGCGCAAGATGCACTATCATATAAAGTGAGTCAACGAGAGATATCAAAAACGTGGAACATGTGCATGTGGAAATCTGGCCCGGTAAATGTGAAAAATCTCCAATTTGCTACGGAATGTCTCATTAGTCGCCTCTCAATACAGCGATGGATCTAACAATCACAGCAGGGGGTCCACACTTAGTCGCCTCTTTTTAAGTAATTCGTATCCTACGGACATACCTCCATTAGGATCCAGTGTTATATGGGAATTTACCGTCCATATTACTTCTTTGACCCATACTGTTGTATATATATATATATGATGTGGATTGTTGATATATCTACTGTTATATAAATAGAATGTGGATTGTTGATATATCTACTGTTATATATATATAGAATGTGGATTAAAGGATGTGGATTGTTTATATAACTTCTGTTGTATATAAAGGATGTGGATTGTTGATATATCTACTGATATATATATAGGATGTGGATTATAGGATGTTGATTATTGATATATCTACTGTAATTTATATATAGGATGTGGATTGTTGATATATCTACTGTTATATATATAGGATGTGGATTGTTGATATATCTACTGTTATATATATAGGATGTGGATTGTTAACATATCTACTGTTATTTATATAGGATGTGGATTGTTGATATATCTACTGTAATTTATATATATAGGATATGGATTGTTGATATATCTACTGTTATATATATAGGATGTGGATTGTTGATATATCTACTGTTATATATATAGGATGTGGATTGTTGATATATCTACTGTTATAAATGTATATTGGATGTGGAGTTTTGATATATATACTGTTATATATATATAGGATGTGGATTGTTGATATATCTACTGTTATATACATAGGATGTGGATCGTTGATATTTCTACTGTTATATATATATAGAATGTGGATTGTTGATATATCTACACTGATGTATTATAGGATGTGGATTATTGATATATCTACTGTTATATAATTTGTAGATTGTCTATATGTCTATATCTTGCCTATGAAAATCTCCCTTTTCACTAGATAACCCCCACCACACACCCACGCCCGAATTCACATATTTCTGTCACCCCTAGGGTATGACAGATAGCACGTGGACTGAATCAATAACATGACGTCACGGGAACAATCAGAAATGACATCACAATTGACCGTCGCTCTCTATGAATCAGGAAGAGATTAAAATTTAAATCCTATTGTTTTCAAACATGGTATTTGAATGTTTGGGGAACAATTATGACCATTCCTATCTTAGGGGTGTTACAAAGACACCTCCAACCCTCGGGCTGATTCTTAGGTCATCTAACCCTCGAGTTAGACAACCAAATAAATCGTCCCTCGGGGTGGAAGTTTCTCTGTGACGACCTTAAAGTAGAGAAATATTGTATTAGTCTTCATTTTTTAAAATTCTTGATAGAGGAAATCGACACATTTTTGTAACATTTGTTATCGATGGAAGTTATCTTTTTTATTTGTGTATTTATGATGGATGAAGTCGTCAGCACTATTTCTGATTGAAGATATCGTCATTATCATTATTTATATATTTGTGACAGGAGAAAACGTCATCATTATCTGTGATATTTGAGGGAATAAGGCGTTGTTTGTGAGATGTATGAAAGGACATCGTCATCATCATATGTGACGAATTTCATTGTTATATTAACCAACGTCATTTATTCCATTGTGGTCGAAGTCATCAGTTTAAAAAGGAATCGATGCTCTGTATCTTCATCAATAGACATTTTTAAAATACTCTTAAATATAATCTGGCGTCGGGTATGGCATTAACCATCATTTTTTACATTTTAAATCAAACAAGTGTTTTAGTACCGTATAGGCGTTGGAAAATCAGCATTGTAGGAGTAACTAAAATTGTAAGTTGTATCGTACATTCAGATTTGTTGCAATATTTAAAATAACATCATTAATCGTCTAACCTTGCGCATCATTGCATAATGTTGTTATTGTTATTATTATAAATGAAAACTACGCATTTGGAAAATAAATGTTTTAACACAGAAAGGTGTGTTTTGTTGTTGTACATTATGCTGTTACTCCACGAACAGCGTTACATATAAAATGCACGTATAACGGTTAAATATAAAATGGCATGCAGATATACCAGATTATGTAAAAAGCCATGTACATATACCAGTTACATATAAAAAGGCTTGCACGTATACCAATTCCATATAAATGCATGTACGTATACCAGTTACATATAAAAAAAAAAGTATGTATACCAGTAATATATAAAAATGAATTATGCACATATACCAGTAACTCATAACAAGAGATCACAGAAGGATCTTGGCGCCCACCATTGTACCATCTTCATTAGTTCTATGTCAGTTCGATTTTTTTTTCTCTCTTTTATCTGTTTGATCAGTTTGCCTGTTCGCCATCTTAATCAATCTTTTTATCAACCTCAAAAGTTAACATGCACAACTCAGGACCAAAGGGAACCTCCAGTAAATTCTGAGAAATCGCGAGAACAAACTTAAAATGTAACAAGATGACTGGCCAATATGATTTAATATGCATAACTAAGAACAAGAGGAACCCTTATGTGAAATTTGAGAAAGATCCCTCCAATAATTTTTGAGCAATAGGGCTAAAATACTTTTACTCACAAATTCAATATGACCACCTGGCAGACATCTTGGTTTTCCAATCATCACCAAAATTAGAAATGCGGAACTAGGAACATTGGGAACCTTCATGTGAAATTTGAGAAAGACCCCTACTGAACAATCTGAAAAATAACGCTAACAAACTTTCATTTTCCAATTCAAGGTGGCCGTCTGTTGGCCGTCTTGGTTTTTTCTTTTGTCCCGAAATTTGTTTAACTAGGGACCATGGGGAACGTTCATGTTAAATTTGAGAAAGAACCCTCCAATACTTTCTGAGAAATAGCGCTAACAAACTATCAATCTCAAAATTCAAGATGACTGCCTGCACATATACCATTAATATTTCAAAAACACGTGTACGTATACCAGTAATATATAAAACACATGTACGTACTATACCAGTAATATATATAATACATGTACGTATACCTGTAATATATAAAAACACATGTACGTATACCAGTAATATATAAAACACATGTACGTATACCAGTAATATATACAACACATGTACGTATACCATTAATATTTCAAAAACACGGGGACGTATACCAGTAATATATACAACACATGTACGTATACCAGTTATATATAAAACACATGTACGTCTACCAGTAATATATGAACCACATGTACGTATACCAGTAATATATAAAACCACATGTACGTATAGCAGTAATATATAAAACACATGTACGTACTAAAACAGTAATAAATAAAACGTCATGTACGTATACCAGTAATATATAAAACACATGTACTATACCAGTAATATATAAAACACATGTACTATACCAGTAATATATAAAACACATGTACGTATACCAGTAATATATGAAACACATGTACGTATACCAGTAATATATAAAACCACATGTACGTATACCAGTAATATATGAAACACATGTACGTATATCAGTAATATATAAAACACATGTACGTATAGCAGTAATATATGAAACACATGTACGTTACCAGTAATATATAAAACACATGTACGTATACCAGTAATATATGAAACACATGTACGTATATCAGTAATATATAAAACACATGTACGTATAGCAGTAATATATGAAACACATGTACGTTAACAGTAATATATAAAACACATGTACGTATACCAGTAATATATACAACACATGTACGTATATGAGTAATATATAAAACACATGTACGTATACCAGTTATATATAAAACACATGTACGTATATCAGTAATATATAAAACACATGTACGTATAATATATGAAACACATGTACGTTACCAGTAATATATAGAACACATGTACGTATATCAGTAATATCTAAAACACATGTACGTATACCAGTTATATATACAACACATGTACGTATATGAGTAACATATAAAACACATGTACGTATATCAGTATTATATAAAACACATGTACGTATACCAGTCATATATATAACCACATGTAAAATATATAAAACACATGTACGTAAACCAGTAATATATACAACCCATGTACGTATACCAGTAATATATTAAACACATGTACGTATATCAGTATTATATAAAACACATGTACGTATACCAGTAATATATGAAACACATGTACGTTACCAGTAATATATAAAACACATGTACGTATATCAGTAATATATGAAACACATGTACGTATACCAGTAATATATAAAACCACATGTACGCATACTAGTAATATATAAAACGCCATGTACTATACCAGTAATATATAAAAACACATGTACGTATAATATATGAAACACATGTACGTATACCAGTAATATATTAAACACATGTACGTATACCAGTAATATATAAAACCACATGTACGTATACCAGTAATATATAAAACGTCATGTACTGTACCAGTAATATATAAAAACACATGCACGTATACCAGTAATACATAAAACCACATGTACGTATACCAGTAATATATACAACACATGTACGTATACCAGTAATATATAAAACGTCATGTACTGTACCAGTAATATATAAAAACACATGCACGTATACCAGTAATATATAAAACCACATGTACGTATACCAGTAATATATAAAAACACATGTACGTATACCAGCAATATATAAAACCACATGTATGTATACCAGTAGTAAGTAAAACGTCATGTACTATACCAGTAATATATAAAAACACATGTATGTAAACCAGTAATATATAAA